CGCTATCTACTGCGAGGATCGTGCATCATACGTATCTAATACCGCAGTTCAAAATATATGAACTTCATATATTTCATTGTATCTGATTTATCACTTTCACGGGTTTATTACGAATCAACTCAACGGCCTGCTCCCAGTTGGCTTGTTAGCTCAATTGGTAGAGCGCTGCACTAGTATCGCAGAGGTCAGTGGTTCGAGTCCCGTACAGGCCTGATTTTTTTCAGGTCTGATTTTCGCTATTGCTTAAATAGCGCTATCTACTGCGAGGATCGTGCATCATACGTATCTAATACCGCAGTTCAAAATATATGAACTTCATATATTTCATTGTATCTGATTTATCACTTTCACGGGTTTATTACGAATCAACTCAACGGCCTGCTCCCAGTTGGCTTGTTAGCTCAATTGGTAGAGCGCTGCACTAGTATCGCAGAGGTCAGTGGTTCGAGTCCCGTACAGGCCTGATTTTTTTCAGGTCTGATTTTCGCTATTGCTTAAATAGCGCTATCTACTGCGAGGATCGTGTATCATATGATAACGTTATATCAACTTTAAAATTAAAGTAGTATTATTCAGCCTATAATTGGTTGCAATATGCAACATTATTTGGGATTTTGATCCCCGTTATTAGAATTAAAACTAACGTCTAAACTCGATGTGAAGTAGTAGTTTCCTCGAAGCTTCAAAATGAAAGATAGCGCAGATACATTTTGTACAAGTAAAATGGCCTATATGCATTGTATTACTATGGTATTATTGGCGATAGCCTTGGAATAAAATACTTTTCGTAAATGAATAAAGGCTGATAGTTTCTAAAGAAACTGTTTGGGGCTGTGTCGGTGGGGGTAACGAAATAATTTGAATATATCAACAAACTTGAAATGGTAAATTGGCCAACGCTCGAAACGTCAGCTTTATAATCGTAACGGTGGCCAATTTACCATTTGAACTTTGTTGATATATTCAAATTACTTTTAGTAAACTTGACTTTACTTTTATATGTTTTTGAAAATAGAGGCTAGATTCGCTCTTCGCAGTGCGATTTATTCACGGTGTGAATATTTTTTTCTTTTGGGGCTTCAAATCGCATCCTCCTTCAGTTTCAATTTTTCAAACCGACCGCAGGAAAAATGACTTATTGTTATCGTATAAAAGCCTTGGAAATTGTGCTATTTCAACACGGTTGTAACGAAGTGGAAACTTTCGCCTAAAAATGACATTGCTTGTGATCTCAAATGAAACTCTAGCTTCCCGCTGGTTCAAATTTAAAATCACGCATATTATTTCCGACCAATTTACACTCTACTTATTCCATCAGTTATTATAATTCATGAAACTCTTTTTAATCACCAGTGATCTTTGCAATCTTATAATCTCCGAGCGGTGTGATTTGACCACGAATTTCTTTTTTTCTCGCTATAGTTGATAACTAATTAAAAGGAGTCTTCAAGAATTTCAGTTATCGTTAGCAAGATTTTTGCTCTCATTAATTATGGCCAGGCTTAACTGGTGAGTAAAAACCGGTTATTTCCACGAAAGAGAAAAAAAACAATGAGTCAAGGTCAACCTTTCTCTTTCTTTTTGCGTCATTCAAAACAATATCTTACATTGAGGAACAGACTGGAAGTGATCGCGAAATATTTATTTCTCTCACCAGACGTCATTTGATACAACGCACTGAAACTACCAACCGCAAACACGTTCATTCGCTTAAGTAAATCAGTTCTCAGCGGAGCACAGGCAGGGATATTATCGGTTTGCCTTAAAAGAGAGAAAAAAAATGTCTTGTTTTGAAATAAAATGGGCTTACCTTATTGCTTTATTGTTTTCTTTGTTGATTCCGAGCGTCTCAGGCTATTTTTAAGCGTTTTCGGCGAGTTAGCGCTATTTTGGTGTTCAACTCTTATAAATATAAAACGTTGCGCAACACGTTAAAGAGTCACGTCCGCTTTTCTAGCAGTGAGCTTGGGCTGCCTGTGAGCGGAGACGGAATATTTTTTTTTCCTGTTTTGATTGAAATCTGTTTACAGGTGCTCGTGATGTAATAAATTAGAGATTACTCATTTCGGTTACGTACTTTATACTAAATATTTTTATTACAACTAAAATCAAATTTAATCGCTTATAAGATTGAATATGATGTAAATCGTAGGTAAAGCTTCTCCAGAAATCTTGCATAGCAAAAATAAAGCTATAGTGACATCATCTTAGCTTTTTTTTTACTGACCTTGATCTACGGAAATTACCGCACGATGGTAATTTCTGCACGTTTTGACTCCGGAAATTTATAAGTATCAACAGTCAACGGTAGAGCAGTAGCACGTTTTATTTCTCTGACATCTCCATCAACTTAACCTTTTGACCAGCCACTAGAAGTAAACAATAGGCAAATTCCTCTCACTAAGACAATACATTGTCAACAAGATGGGAAATGAGAAAGTAGAAATTGATCGACGAGCTAATATATTCTGTCTCGATATACAGGAAGGAATAGGGAATTTAAGGTATTTTACATAAGGAATTTTTAAACGCATCCGCTCAAAAGCCAACGGTTTAAAAGCATACACCAGCTACACTCGAATCAGTTCAGTTAAGTTTGACGTTCGTAAGAGTAGCATCAACGTATCTTCCACAATGGCAGTTCTGGTGAAAACTTGTTGTTGCGGCTGCAGTCTTCGCACAGGTGTTGCGATTATCATAATGTTAGGCCTGGTGAGTTCAATCCAGTATGTTTCGATGTTTGAAACAAGCTACTGATCTCTCTTTCATTAATTCCTCGTCACAAATAACTGAGCTTAGTTTGAAAATCAATCCTTCATTTAATTTACATTTGATGTGGTACATTAAATCTGGTCTGTGGTTGCGCTTTTGCTTATATTTCAGATTGGATCAGTATATTTAATTTATCAAGGAGTTCGTTCTATTAAAGTTTACAAGGAACTAGAGGAGAACACCGACGAACTCAGCCAAAATTTGCCTTACAGCAGAAAGCATTTACTAGGTATTACAACTTAGTTTTGTCTTGTGCCGTTAAAATGTGTTAGAGAGGACACGCGTTTGGAACGAAACTATTTTGATTTGAGAGATTAATCGGTTGAGATTTGTAGGGTTTTTTAGCCTCTTAAATAAATACTATTCAATGGAATTAATTGCTCGTGATCTTGTATGAACTTAAATGAATGTTCAACTAATGTCAGTATAAAAAAATGTCAAAACCTCTTTCCGCTAAGAGTGCCCTCCCATGCAGTATAAGCTTTTTTCTCGTTTTCTGGTTATGTTTTGACTGATTAATTGATTGATT